TATATATATATATATATATATATATATATATATATATATATATATATATATATATATATATATATATATATATATATATAAGTTGAAGATGCATTCAACATTACTTAATCCAAAAACTCTGAAGTATTACCCTAACATGATTTCGTACAAAATACATTGAAATTAAGAAATCAACGAAGTTCGAGGTTGAACGAATTAGCTGATCGAAATAAAGTGTAAAAAAGTTACTTGGTCGACTGGAAATATTTTTGAAATAAGACCACATTCCTTAGCTTCTTGTGCTGTTATGGGTATTCCTGTCAAACATACTTCCATTGCCAGAGATTTACCAGTAACACGCAACCATCTTTGGGTACCACCGGCACCTGCAAACTGTATGTATCAACGTTTAGAAGAGAACAAATTTTTAAGCAAATATTTTTTAAATTATTAGAAAGATGGAGTCCTACCTCCTCTATCCCATAAACTGACCGGAAATCATTTTTCAGGAATCGAAAATTACCTTACCGCAGTTTCAAGCGTACTTGGACATGAAGAATGGAAAACATTTTCTTAGCTAAGTCTGAGGTAATATTACTTACGTGTAGACAACAAACTTATGGCTCCATAATTATGTGGTCGATAAATGAATTTTAAATTCATGATCAAACTCCGCTGCAAAGGTTTTGCAAAGTTCATCCAGCAACTCATTTCAATGAATCCATTCATATACAGTCCCATTCTTAAGAAGAGCTATTAAGATATTGAATCTTCTCTGACTTTTGACTCCTATTTAATGATAGGAGTATAGCAAGACTGATTATACTATCCACGAGAACAATAACAAACAGTAAGTGTAAAACTTATACCTGGTATGGTTCCGATGATAACTTCTGGTTGCCCAAATTTAGCTTCCTCTCCGGCATAAATTATATCACACATCATAGCTAATTCACAACCACCGCCGAGTGCATGACCATTTACGGCTGCAATAATCGGTTTCTTCATCTTCGATATTTGGGTCCAGTTCTGCAGTGTATTTCCGGATGATATCGCTTCGTATTCAACAGCACATAGTTCTCTTACATCGGCTCCTACTATAATGCATATAAATGCATCCAATGCATATTCAAAAAAATATATATTCTCCATAATATCTTCATCCTTTTTATCTCAGTGCTACCTAATGCCATCGAAATGGAAAATGTTTTGAAGAATGCTTCACAACACTCTCCTTCAAGTTTCATCCAAAATAACCCTATCAGTTTCATAGTATATTCGAAGCTATCCTTTTATTCTATCCGTTAAGGTAGATACAAATAAAACAAAAAATATCACTACCCCCCGGAACGTATACTACGCTACATCCAGATAATAAATGACGTCTAGTACATCAAACGATATTTTTGCAAAAATTGAAAGCTTCCACCAGCACTAAGCTTTTTTCAGTCATAAATATTACAGGTGAGGAAGGCCTACAGTAGGAATAAAGAGGATGTAGTATAACTTTTATGGTTATACATAATTCTGCAGGAGAAAAATTAACTAAATAACCACAAAAAAAGTTCACCTAAATCCGTCAAAAGCAATTTCTAGCAAAGTGAATGCTATATAAAATATATCAATACAACAGTCTTCTCGAAAACTATCTATAAAGATAAAAGATAAGGATAAAAAGTACATCTGACCTGAAAATACACGTTTGGCACCTGTTATTACCACTGCTCCAATTGAAGTATCATTATCAAATTCAACCAATGCATCTGAAAGCTACAAAACGAGAATTTATCGCCCTCTTTCTTCTTTAAAATAAACAGAAGATATAAGAGCAAGATCTAGGAAGAAACCTTCATTTCAACATTATGTAATAAAGGGAAATTTTCCATTTTTGGGATTTATCAAATGTTTTTTCAAAATTAGGCTGGATCCTTTGCCTTTGACACTATTCTTACGACAAAGGTCTTTGCAATTGGTACCGATCTTTGCAATAGGTAGTATTATAATGATAGTCCAGTAACTCAAATATTCAAAGTATATTTTCCTTAATTAATATTTTTCTTTTCTCTTTCGAATAAGCTAACTTATCGGTCGACTTACCTCTTGCATAAGTTGATTGCACAATGCATTTAATGCTTTGGGTCTATCAAGCTTAATTAAACCAACATTCCTTTTATCACCGACCTTTTCGGTTTTAATCATATGCGCTGCAGCTGCAACGGATAAATATGGCAATATGAGTGGAAACGTAGGACATAAGTGAAAGAAACGTAAAACTAATGTGAAATATAAAACAGCATAACATTTTACACTTGACAGAAGTATTTTGTACTTACAACCAAAGTTACACTGTTGAAATTTCCAAGGATTCCGTAATATTCTGATCGAACTACCGGCCAAGAACCATAAATTCCGTACAGCTTTTGACATCTGAAATTACTTTACTAACTACAATAAGCTATGAAAAATGTTTCGATGATACCATAATGCACTAAAGAATCGCTAATAGAATCATCACCAAAGTGCTTTCAGTATCAAATAATTTTGGATGAGGAAAACTGTACCGTTAACTCTTCGGTTTAGGATCAGAACAATAAAAAGATATATACCGGGAATTCAACCGGAAATATTTCGTGGGCAATACTCCCACTTCATTTCCTTTCCTTCTTAGCATATTTTTCTTTGGTGAAATAATCTACTTCTATGTGTTTATTCATTCGACGTCTCTGATAATTAGACACTCGAGAAGCACCCGAGATTTCGTAGTAGTGAAAATGACAAATTTTACCGTTGTATACTCATCCTCGAAAAAGATGTAAATGTAATTCGGTATATGTTGGCACGAATCTTTTCCAGTTTGTTAGCATAAAGCCTTATCTAAGCCAAGCTTAGTATCCCAAATAACACACAACCAAGCGTAAGCCATGCTTAGTATCCCAAAGGCGCGGCACACTCTTTTGATTTTTTCCTTCATGTTTCCTTTTTCAACCTTTACAATTCTTAATAAGCAAAGGTATACTTTTCATTAGTTAGTCGCATGAAATGTCCTGCTAAAGGTGTCGTTGAAATCGCGAGGAGAAGCAGTGAATCAATAACTGCTTTGATACTGTTGGTATAATGTATTGTATGTATAGATATACTGTGCGATGAAAACTAATATTGTGGATCCACTGTTTTATGTTCTATAATAATAATTTTATGACTTCAGGAGTGACCTCAGAACTGACCTCGGAACTGACCTCAGAACTATCCAAGGATCTGCCCTATTCGAGGAAGAAGAGGATCCTGAGCGCCAAATGAGGGAAGGAAAGACGTGTCCCAACAGGTCGGTTGGAAAGACGATAACGGGCGTCATTTGGTCTTTGGTCCCCCTTTTGTTCATATTGATATTATAATTGTTGAATTCGTTTCTGTA